GGTCTCAGATTTTTTCTCCTTTTTTTTTTAGCCAAAGAGAATTTTCGGGGAGGGTGTAGTGGTATAAAGAATTAAGTTACAAAAACTGATAGTCTGAATGGATAGAGGGTGGGAAGGTTCAAAATGTGCCATGAGTAGGTACTAAACATCAGCTCATCAACATTACAGGGACTTGTGTGGATATGCTATCCAGGAGCACACATGAGTGTAAAGCAAAGAAAGAGCAGAATTTTTTGCTTCCAAAAAAACAAAAAACTAAATCAATCGCAGTGGTAAGAACACTCATATTGGACTAGGCAGACATTCTGAAGACCATTTATGAATAAGTGCTTACAGAAGATACCATATTAGATGAAACACCAGGAATTAGGTTGTATGAATTTGGAAACAAGTTTGGATTCATGATGATGATGAGCATAGAACTGACATTATGGCACTCATGTATTCTCTAGTACTTTATCTCCATCATCACTAGCAAGTACAGAGTTCCAGTTCTGATGGTACCAGTAACGGTTTGACTGTATGTTCGCTTCACTTTTCCCCTAAGCAGTGATCGCCAGCCAGATCTCCTAGTCACTCCTAGCTGCACTGTGATGCTCAGATTGTGCACACTGTTCATTCGCTTCCAAAGGGCCCTAATAACATCTAGCTAGTCGTGGTTCAGTTTACCACCAAATGGAGCAGAACCAGCCAGTCTTGTTTTCCTGTTCATTTGCCAGCACAGCTGGAACCCATAAACAATATACATTTGACATTTAACTACCCGGCCATTCTGAAGCCCTTGGAAAGCTGCAGCGACTGCCTCCACTTCCATTCTCAAACTAGTGATGTCCATTCTCTTTAGCTAGGAACCCCCTGTGTACCTCGGTGGATATGCACAGTTTGCTGTGTTGTTGATACTATAAACAGTAATGTAATTAGTAAAATACGACCTATATATTATACAGAAATAACCCATCGACGGTGCTGTTCTCAAGTATGTGTGTGTCTCCTGGCAAATGTATTGTCACACCAGGCCTGTACGCCATGGTTGGTGCTGCTGCAGCTTTAGGTGGGGTCACCCGCATGACAGGTGAGTACTAGACAGGTGACAGAGAGTTTGTATCCATCTCTTCTTCTTTTTCTTTACGGAGCTTTTTGTGTGTGTGTTTAATATTGTTGTTCTTGGTGGCTGTTGTTGTATTTGATGATGATCTTGCATAATACTTTGATGAGGAAACTGGATATGGAAAGGAAGAAGAAGTGATCTTATTATACGTTTAATGATCATTTTATTGATTTTGCTGTCGTTCAGCTTTTTTCTGCTTGTATTGGTTTACGGTTGTTGTTACTTTTGTTGTTGTTGCTCTTTTTATTAACATCAGTACTAGCGTTGCTTCAATAAACTTGTAAAACTCCTAAACTTATTTATATGCCCAATGAATGGTATGCCCAGTGTGTGGTATACCCAGTGTGTGGTATGCCCAGTGTGTGGTATACCCAGTGTGTAGTATACCCAGTGTGTGGTATACCCAGTGTGTGGTATACCCAGTGTATGGTATACCCAGTGTGTGGTATGCCCAGTGTGTGGTATGCCCAGTGTGTGGTATACCCAGTGTGTGGTATACCCAGTGTGTGGGACAAAAGGCGGAGATTCCACATCCTAGCTATAAACCACAAAACATGCAAACCACCCTTCACGGCTGAAAGAAGAAAAAAAAGTCTTTGAGGATTCACAACTATCACATAGTTAAAAAATTCAAGATATGATTAGGAAGCTAAATCAAAGAAAAGATATGCAGATAAAAGCAACCATTGGACAGAACATATTGGTTTCAGAAAAATTGCACACAATGAGCGTCCTTTGGATCTTTTCTCTAGAACTTGCTAGAAAATAAATAGACAGAGAGCTTGGTTGGTTATGTACCACTTGATGAATTGATCTATGCCAAGGTAGATGGGGTCAAAACCCTTTGGAAGCAGATAAATTATGCTTGGTGCGACACTGTAAGCTGTGGACTACTGGCTGATTACATCCAGCATTACGTGTCTTTTATGGGCACATTGCTCGGCTTTCAATATTGAACACTTGCACCAACAGTGAGCTGCAATTCTGGTGTGGGACCATTAGTATTGACACATCTGATAGCTGCCATATGCATTTTTACTTCCATTTGCAAGCTTCAAGATTTTGACTAGAAAGATTTAAAACTGAACGAAAAGGGGATTAGCGAGCTTCGCAATATAACAAGCACAAACACAGCATTAGTGTTGCGACTATAGGGCCTTCGTCAGCACATACATAAACAAAACCACAAGAACGCACAAAAATCACCTAATTGAGTATCCAGAAACAGCCAAGTTGATGTCTTACCAGTGGACAAACAACCAGACTTTCGATGGTACCAGTAGTAATTTAATTATATGTCTATGCTGCATTCCCTCTGAGTACAGAGTCTCTTCCAGATCTCCTGGTCACTCCTAGCTGTACCATTTTCTCCAGACCATAATGATCCGTCCATGCCTCCACATTGTTCACTTGCTGCCAAAGGTCCTTGACCACATCTACCTTTTCATGCATAAATTCACCACCCATTAGTGCAGAAGCGGTGAATCTGTCTGCCTGTTCATTTCCCCACACTCCTGCCTGCCCCACAGAAAATATCCCAAGAACGCTAACTACCTGCGACTTCTGAAAGATACTTGCCACTCTGCGCAGAGCATGACTGTTTCCACCTTCCTAAAATGCTGTTTACTGTGTTATCATTTATCTATAAAATTACACCAGCTTGCACCCTTATGCACAGATGGTTGGATATATTTCTTTTAATTGATTTTACTTGTATTTTTTGTCTCCCAGTTTCTCTAGTGGTCATCATGTTTGAGCTGACCGGAGGCCTGGAGTATATTGTCCCTATGATGGCCGCAGCGATGACCAGTAAATGGGTTGGTGATGCTCTGGGAAGGGAGGGAATGTATCCTTTACTATTCTGTATGACAAGGATATTGAACTCTTGCAAAATATACCAGAACTTCTTCTTCTTCTTCTTTTTCTTCTTCTCTTTATTTCCTGATGGAGCACAGACTCTTCTTTCCTGTACAAGTTTTAACTGCACCCCTGTGTGTCTTTCCTGTAAAGCCCTTCTTGTTTAAGTGTGTCTTTCTTGTAACAGTTAACAAATTGTGTCTTTCCTGAACAAATTAACTAGTTATAATTTTTCTGTACAGATTTCCAGTTACAAAACAAATTGTGTCTTTCCTGTACAAGTTAACAAATTGTGTCTTTCCTGTACAAGTTAACAAATTGTGTCTTTCCTGTACAAGTTAACAAATTGTGTCTTTCCTGTACAAGTTAACAAATTGTGTCTTTCCTGTACAAGTTAACAAATTGTGTCTTTCCTGTACAAGTTAACAAATTGTGTCTTTCCTACACAAGTTACAAATTATGACTTGTCAAGTTGAGAGGCTGCACAGTCCTCTGCATAAATATAACTGCACAGTTCATGACTTCAGTTCTTTAGGCTTGAGTATTTTCTATTATCTGACACTGTTAGTGTTAACCTTGACCTGCATTCAGATATGATGCACATATAGCACTCAACGGGTACCCATACCTTGATGCCAAGGAAGAATTCACTCACACGACAATAGCAGCAGATGTCATGAGACCCCGGTAAGTACTGCACATTATGTTGTATTAGAAATGATTGCAGGTACACAAGACAGAAGGGGGTGGGTAGACAAGACTTTGAATGCCACACAGACTGTAAGCAATTGACCATAACCAGAGTATGTTTGACAATGATGATTATTTCTTTATGCTGCTCCATCTTTTTCCATTCTCATAGTAGATTCGACTCCTGGACATCCAGTGTACCACTTGGTTAACCCTTTCATCATTTTTACCTGTATTTCTTTTGGTTGACCTCTGACTTTATTACTGCCAGTATGTGTGTCACATTATCCAATTCTAGCGAATTTTCTTCTGAAGGACAAAGAATAGTAAATAAATCTCTACCGTTGAGAGTCTGGATGGCTGTGGTTTTCTTAAAATATGAGACGCTGTGGTGGTCACTGATCCTTTTAGATAAATTATGTCTAGCTTTCAGTGTTACATTTTTGTGACTGTCTTCGTTTCAGACATTCTGTATAGTGCTAGTGGTTTATATGCATTCAGTCTTCTTCTTAAAGTCCATGCTGTGTGGCGTTGATAGTCATATCTATCCACAACCTTCTCTCATGTACTTTCAGTCAGATCTGACACAGATGATCCTCCATGCCATAATGTCAGACTGTCCAGCATCTGTTCTCTTGGTCTCCCCCTGCCTCTCCTCCCCTCCAACTTTCCTACTGTCTCGATGTACTCCAGTTTTCTCCTTCTCATCACATGACCAGAGAATGTAGATTGTCTTTTTCTGATGTGGGCAATCAGTTTTCTTTGTGAGTCAATTTCTATCAAGACGTCTTCATTACTCTTTTCATCTGTCTAGGCTATTCTCATCATTCATCTATAAAACCACATCTCTGAAGCTTCCAAGTAAGTTCTTACTAACTTACCAACTGCCTATGATTCACTTCCGTATATCAATAGAGGATTTTTTTTTTATTATATTATCTGTCCAGTTCCCCTCCTTTGTTCTGTTTTCTAAATTCAGAAGGTGGGGGTAGGGGAGGGTGTACCAGTTTGAACAACTCAGTTTTTTAAAATGCCAGATTTCTATAGTTAACAAAAGTAAATCCATCTGTCAAGAAACTGCTACATAACAGAAATAACTGCATTTTTGACTGGCTTTTGATTTTCTCAATGTACTAACATCGCTGTTTGGCATTTCATCATTTTTAACATTTGCTTGTTTTGGCCTTAACAGAATAATTTCAATCTGAGCAAACAATTTAGAATCTGTTTGCCTTGAAGTGAAAATACTTTTTGCTTGCTTCTCTGTTTGTATTTTTTTTTTTTTTTGTTTATATAAAAATATGTGTGTGTGTGTGTGTGCGCGCGTGCCAACACACAATTTTATGGAAGAAACCTAAAATTCATTTGACAGCTAAAAAGAGCAATCCAGATGTTTTGAAAGAGGCAAAGCCACAAAGACAACTTATTACAAACAGAAAGAAACGGTCATCATTTTTTGTGTGTGTGGTCATATTGTGAAAAAAGGAGACTGTAACATGTTGTGACCACTAGGATGATGTGTGACCTGCACATAGGAAGATGTTTGAAGAAAAAGGAACTGCAACACTTTGACTGGGAAGATGTGTGTGACCGGAGACTGAGAAGATGGGAAGATCTGTGAAGAAAAAGGAGACTGGAACTGCAACCGCTGGGATGTGAAGAAAAAGGAGACCAACTGAGAAGATCTGTGAAGAGAAAAAGGAGCTGGGACTGTGAAAAAAGGATGTTGTAACTACTCTGTGAAGAAAAAGATGGAACATGTTGTAACTGTAAATCTGTGAAAAGGAGACTGCAACATGTTGTAACCGCTGGGAAGATCTGTGAAGAAAAAGGAGACTGGAACATGTTGTAACCGCTGGGAAGATCTGTGAAGAAAAGGAGACTGCAACATGTTGTAACCGCTGGGAAGATCTGTGAAGAAAAGGAGACTGCAACATGTTGTAACCGCTGGGAAGATCTGTGAAGAAAAAGGAGACTGGAACATGTTGTGACCACTGGGAAGATCTGTGAAGAAAAAGGAGACTAGAACATGTTGTAACCGCTGGGAAGATCTGTGAAAAAAAGGAGACTGGAACATGTTGTGACCACTGGGAAGATGTGTGAAGAAAGCGGAGACTGGAACATGTTGTGACCACTGGGAAGATGTGTGAAGAAAAAAGAAAAGACACAGAGGAAGATGCTGTGAGAAGATTCTTGCCAACCTTTTGTCATTACTTGGAGGTCTGTCAGCACACAAGCTGACACATTTACTTGGAGGTCTGTCAGCACACAAGCTGACACATTTACTTGGAGGTCTGTCAGCACACAAGCTGACACATTTACTTGGAGGTCTGTCAGCACACAAGCTGACACATTTACATGGAGGTCTGTCAGCACACAAGCTGACACATTTACTTGGAGGTCTGTCAGCACACAAGCTGACACATTTACTTGGAGGTCTGTCAGCACACATGCTGTTGAAGATCACAGATTGTGGAGAGGTGTCATCACCCATACCAGTGCACAAGGCACTCAATGATCATAATAGTTAATGATATTGTATCAAGGACACCCTGAAAATAAGAATTCACAAGGTGGGAAAGTGGCTTTCCAGTCTGCTGTGATAAGAGGAAGGTTCTACCTGCTACATGTTGATGAGAAATGTTTCTCTGTGCAGTCAGGAACAAAGATGACACAAGCAAGAGATTGCACAGTTTATTGCTCAGTATATTGTACACTGTTTTGTCAGGCACATCCTGCACTACAGAATGGGATCAGTGAAAATAAATATTTATTATAAAAGTATCTGTTGATTGATCTAATTGTGTGCTTTAAAAAAAAAATCTCTATTTATTAATATACATATGATATACTGCTATGCAAGAATAGCCATTTTCATCTGCTTAAACTTCAGCATCCTGTGCCTTTTTTGTACTTATTGGTCATGGAAAGCACAGACCTTACTCAGTGTCTTCGTGTCACCTAGGAATGTATAAATTACAAAAACATTTGGCAGGGAACTCTTGTGGCTATTGAAAGAGTATATTCATTCCTTTCCTCCTCCTCCTTTCTTTTTCTGCCTTAGCTCCTAAAATGATTGTTGGCACATTTTGTTGTGATTTACAGCTAGGCTGTGATATCTGCCACTGTTTCGGCCCAACCGTTTCCATTTCAGTAATCCCTTCATTAGCCACCTTTTATAACATGCTTCTCAACGGGCAGTGGTTCTGTTCTTCAACATCAGGTCCCAGAATTGACACTAGAATTATGATAAACAAATTGTAAAGTACTGATTAGCACTTACTAGATATAGAGGGCACAATAGACAGCATACAAATCAGGAATTGAACCTGTCACCTCCAGAAAATGTTGGTGCTTACCTGCAAGGAAAAGTGTACTTGGATGCTCGGACAGCTAGATACACACTTTACTTAGAGATTCATTGGCATTGATAGAGAACATGGTGAAAGATCTACCTCTCCTCCAGTACCTTTGAAGAATACCAGTCAGTCTGAATAATTTATATCTCATGTTTTGTGTAGATATGGGGTCTCTGTGGCAAAGTTGGCAAGATACGTGCCTCACACCCTGAAGGTTTTTTTGGGCCTGCATCTTTCAGTATAAGTGTCAGGTGTCTTTTTTTTGTTGATCGTTGCTGGACTTTCAGAGTTTGTGCTCAGTTAGATTTGGTAATCTTAGTTTCAGCTTCATAGCCAACAGGTTACCCCATAGTTGCTCCGCTCCTGTGCCAACGAAAAACACACAGAATGTTTATCACAGCCCCTTTGTTAGATTCTTTTAGCAGGCAGCCGGCCAGCCACTCTGTCAAGGGTAACACGGCCATATGGGATAAAACCTGAGGCAGGGAAGTCAGTTCTCTCAAATGTGTTCATTCCATTTATCTCAGCTTCTCTAGTAACTTAGTGGTTGTAAACACATTTTCACAGTCCCACATACCAGAGTTCAAAGTCACTTGAAGGTGATTTGTTAGCTGACCTCTTAGATTTGACCTTGAAAACTTTATGAGCCTTATGCACCAGACACAACTTTCAGAGTTGCTTAAACCTGACAACATTGTGAGATTTGAACAAAGAAGACACAAACAATAGATTGCACAATTTATTGCCTGGCTTATTTCGCTGTATCTTGTCAGGTGCATACTACAGTAACAATTACATAAATGAAGCAGATAAGTGAATCCTTTATAACTGAAGTACAATTTTAACAACAATCAAACTGTAGTATGCACCTGACGAGAAATATGCCAGGCAATAAATTGTGCAATCTATTGTTTGTGTCTTCTTATTCAGATTAACAACGGGGAAACATTGCTTTGATTTTCTGAAACATTGTGAGAATTTCATAAACATTACCTGGACTATTTTTATAACACATTGTTTGGTATTTCATTCTGCAGATTAAGTTTCAGGTCTGTGATTATTGTTGGTAATCTAAACTATCCAATTTGAGTTCTTTCCTTTGTGCACCGTTATTTTTGTACATATATTTTGTTTTTCACTAGAGGTATTTTGTCCACTTGTGAGCACTTTTACATGCACTGACTATTTCTATGTTTTAGCACCTTTGTAGGTTGTTCACTGTCAAACCAGATGCATAGCTTCTGTTTTTACATTTTAATAGTTTAGTGTTTATGTTTATTAGGGGTTCTTAACTTGAGTTTCAGTGGATAGATTTTAGGAGAGCACATGTGTGGGCGATATAGCAGCTCAATAGATACTTGCCTGTTCACCCAAAGATCTTCAGTTCAAGTCCACATTAAAGTGAAGGACTCTTTTCCACACCTTTATGTATATTGAGATTAAAGTACAAGACTATATTTGATAGACCTGCGGGTACTCGATGGGCGATGATGATGGCCACCTTGACTTTCCAGGCATGTTCTCCTCCTATGTCTTCAGGTGTTTTTAGGCTAACAACTCCTGTTCTCTTCTGGTTGATGTAACGACGGGTGGCTAGAGCAAAGTTCTCCCGTCTCGCTGCTCCACTTGGTACACCCA